TTCCACACAGTGTGGCTGCAGGCATCGCAATCTTCAAGCTTCGCAGCTTCACTTCTTCTTTGGATCAAGGCCCTTGTGTTTGCAGAGTCGCACTGGAAGATAGGATTCGTAGGTGAAGTCTCTATCGCGTCAGTAAGGGGACGCAAGTACGAAAATTGCACTATGTTATTGACTATGTTCCTGCAAGTAAGCGTGCTACCTGTGCTTCGGGTAGTAGTCACAGACGGAACCCCAAAAAAGAAGCAACTTTTCTGGAGGAGAGACAGGAAAGATATCTGTCTTGATCAGTATTGGGGACATTTTGTGTGTTGCAAAGCAAATGGGAAGAAATCTTGCTTCATGCCAGATGATTCGATTGATTGCCTGAGCGTGCTGGTATCCCTACACTGTTCAATATTGTTTACCATTCCCTCGGACACAGGGTTCAAATCAATTTTGGCCACTAAAGTGGTTGATCCTTGCTGGTGAGAAATAGAAGCGTATGATTTATTCTTAATAGAACAGTCATCAATACAGTAAATATAGAGATATAATAGGATAGTGTATTTCAAACATACACATATATAAATGAACAGATATGTATACATCCATAAAACAAAAATATATAGATACATAAATAGATAAAAAGAGCTAAAATCAATGTATAGGTATGTCTCTCTCTACATATATAAATGCTTATATTTGAAGTGAATTGTGGAACGGCTGAAGACATGTCATCGGGGTGAGGGCGCGGTTGCTGCAGTCGAAACAGCTGTTGAGATGCGTCGGGCGCTGGGGACATGGTGCGGACGGGCCCGTTGGCGTACTGGAGCCTTTTTTGTCCTGGGTGTTCTTGTGTCTGGTTGTGCGCTGTTGGCTTTGTTGGTCGTGCGGTTAACACAAGCGCGGAGTGGAGCTCATGTAACCAAGAAGCATCTTGCGTGTGGCATGTGGTAGCGGAGGAGGTAGCGGAGCCGTCTCTTCAGTGCCCGTTTGCGGCTCCTGCAGTCGAAACACCTGTTGAGATGCGTCGGGCGCTGGGGACATGGCGCAGACGGGTCCGTTGGCGTACTGGAGCCTTTTTTGTCCTGGGTGTTCTTGCGTCTGGTTGGTCCTGCGGTTGACACAAGCGCAAAGTAGAGCTGATGTAACCAAGAAGCATCTTGCGTGTGGCATGTGGTCGCGGAGAAGGTAGCGGAGCCGTCTCTTCAGTGCCCGTTTGAGGCTCCTGTCCTTAGCCGTCTTGCGCACTTGGCAGGCATGCAGCATGAGCAGTGCTGTGTGACGAAGGTTCAGTGATGCTACGTGCTCGTTTTTTTGCTGCTGCTTGGGGACAAACCTCATCCCAGTGACGGCATGCTATCTCCAGTCGAAACAAGTGTTCAGATGCGTCGGACGCTGGGGACATGGTGCGGACGGGCCTCTCGGTGTCCCGGAGCTTTCTTTGTCTTCGCGTGCTGGTGTGCGGTTGTCCGTGGTTAGCTTTATGTGGGACTTTATGTGGGGTAATGTTTAAGGCACAATACAAGACAGACGACACCAGACACAAGAACAAGAAATAAGAAGGAAGAACAACAACGAGAACAACAAGAACAAGGCACAAAGGAAAAGAAGCGAAACGAAACGGATCAAAGCCAGAACGCTGTTCTTCCTGTGTTCTTTGGGGGGGAGGCGCTGCGCCCTCCCCCCCATGCCCCCAACCAGCCTTAAGAAATTTATATGGGGCAATGTTTAAGGCACAATACAAGACAGACGACACCAGACACAAGAACAAGAAGAAGGAAGAACGACAACGAGAACAACAATAACAAGGCACAAAGGAAAAGAAGCGAAACGAAACGGATCAAAGCCAGAACGCTGTTCTTCCTGTGTTCTTTGGGGGGGGGGCGCTGCGCCCTCCCCCCCATGCCCCCCACCAGCCTTAAGAAATTTATGTGGGGCAATGTTTAAGGCACAATACAAGACAGACGACACCAGACACAAGAACAAGAAGAAGAAGGAAGAACAACAACGAGAACAACAATAACAAGGCACAAAGGAAAAGAAGCGAAAGGAAACGGATCAAAGCCAGAACGCTGTTCTTCCTGTGTTCTTTGGGGGGGAGGCGCTGCGCCCTCCCCCCCATGCCCCCCACCAGCCTTAAGAAATTTATGTGGGGCAAATGTTTAAGGCACAATACAAGACAGACGACACCAGACACAAGAACAAGAAGAAGAAGGAAGAACAACAACGAGAACAACAATAACAAGGCACAAAGGAAAAGAAGCGACACGAAACGGATCAAAGCCAGAACGATGTTCTTCCTGTGTTCTTTGGGGGGGAGGCGCTGCGCCCTCCCCCCCATGCCCCCCACCAGCCTTAAGAAATTTATGTGGGGCAATGTTTAAGGCACAATACAAGACAGACGACACCAGACACAAGAACAAGAAGAAGAAGGAAGAACAACAACGAGAACAACAATAACAAGGCACAAAGGAAAAGAAGCGAAACGAAACGGATCCAAGCCAGAACGCTGTTCTTCCTGCGTTCTTTGGGGGGGAGGCGCTGCGCCCTCCCCCCCATGCCCCCCAACCAGCCTTAAGAAATTTATGTGGGGCAATGTTTAAGGCACAATACAAGACAAACGACACCAGACACAAGAACAAGAAGAAGAAGGAAGAACAACAACGAGAACAACAATAACAAGGCACAAAGGAAAAGAAGCGAAACGAAACGGATCAAAGCCAGAACGCTGTTCTTCCTGTGTTCTTTGGGGGGGAGGCGCTGCGCCCTCCCCCCCATGCCCCCCACCAGCCTTAGGAAATTTATGTGGGGTAATGTTTAAGGCACAATACAAGACAGACGACACCAGACACAAGAACAAGAAACAAGAAGGAAGAACAACAACGAGAACAACAAGAACAAGGCACAAAGGAAAAGAAGCGAAACGAAACGGATCAAAGCCAGAACGCTGTTCTTCCTGTGTTCTTTGGGGGGGAGGCGCTGCGCCCTCCCCCCCAATGCCCCCCACCAGCCTTAAGAAATTTATGTGGGGCAATGTTTAAGGCACAATACAAGACAAACGACACCAGACACAAGAACAAGAAGAAGAAGGAAGAACAACAACGAGAACAACAATAACAAGGCACAAAGGAGAAGAAGCGAAACGAAACGGATCCAAGCCAGAACGCTGTTCTTCCTGTGTTCTTTGGGGGGGAGGCGCTGCGCCCTCCCCCCCATGCCCCCCACCAGCCTTAGGAAATTTATGTGGGGTAATGTTTAAGGCGCAATACAAGACAGACGACACCAGACACAAGAACAAGAAGAAGAAGGAAGAACAACAACGAGAACAACAATAACAAGGCACAAAGGAAAAGAAGCGACACGAAACGGATCAAAGCCAGAACGATGTTCTTCCTGTGTTCTTTGGGGGGGAGGCGCTGCGCCCTCCCCCCCATGCCCCCCACCAGCCTTAAGAAATTTATGTGGGGCAATGTTTAAGGCACAATACAAGACAGACGACACCAGACACAAGAACAAGAAGAAGAAGGAAGAACAACAACGAGAACAACAATAACAAGGCACAAAGGAAAAGAAGCGAAACGAAACGGATCCAAGCCAGAACGATGTTCGTCCTGTGTACGACTACTTCAACTACAACAACAACAACAACTACTACTACTACTACTATTACTACTACTACTACTACTTCTACTACTACTACTATTACTACTAGTACTACTACTACTACTACTACTACTACTACTACTACTACTCCTACTCTGCTGCTACTACTGCTACTACTACTCCTACTCCTGCTCCTACTCCTACTCCCTACTACCCTACTACTCTATTACTCTATTATTCTACTACTCTACTACTCTACTGTTACTACGACGACGACGACTACTACTACTATTACTACTACTACTACTATTACTACTACTACTACTACTACTACTCCTCCTGCTACTACTACTACTACTTCTACTACTACTACTACTACTATTACTACTAGTACAACTACTACTACTACTACTCCTGCTGCTTCTGCTGCTGCTACTGCTACTGCTACTGCTACTGCTACTGCTATTACTACTATTACAACTACAACTACAACTACTACTACTACTACTACTACTACTACTACTACTACTACTACTACTACGACTACGACTACGACTACTACTACTACTACCACTACTACTACTACTACTACTACTACTACTACTATTACTATTATCAACAACTAACTCCAAAGCGTAAATTTGTGTTATGCTACTACTACTACTACTACTACTACTACTACTACTACTGCTTCTACTTCTAGTCAGGCCAAAATCTAAAAAAAAATTGCTGCGAGATGAGGAGTAGGGGGTGGTGGAGCCTTCCCTCCTGATCGTTGGAAGCTGGGGGGAGGGGGTTGTGGACCCACTCCGCCCTGTTTGTCGGCAGCTGAGGGGGGGGTGGTGGACCCACCCCCCCCTTGTTTGTCGGCAGCTGAGGGGGGGGTGGTGGACCCACCCCCCCATGTTTGTCGGCAGCTGAGGGAGGGGGGTGGTGGACCCACCCCCCCCTTTGTGAATGGCTACAGTGACTATGAATGGCTATAGTGACAAAGCTGGGGGGGGGTGGTGCACCCCCCCTCCCCAAGTTGAAGAAGAACACAAGTGAGCAAACTATCCTACAATCGACAATGCTGCATAAACTCTGACCTGCCAGCAACACATCAAAAAAAAACACGTGAAATAAATCACCATGTTCGAGATTGCCACCGAAATCAATTATGTTCTCTATGTTTTCATGCAATCATTCCATTCAGTCAAACATATGTCCACATGGTCCGTATCATTGCAATTCATTGCATACCATGAAGTTTCCTGGGATCACAGCTGTACTGCATGACGCGTGGCACACCTTCTCCTGGACGCCGGTGCGAAGACCGAAGACTCCCACGTTCCACGTTTGACGTTTCCTCCAGACACTCAACCAAGCCATTGCCGATGCCAGATTCCATGTTGTGGCATGCTGTTTCCCAGAGCGCGCAAACAAAACACAAAGTGGAAATCAGGTGTATCTAGTCTGTATCCATCCAATGGCCAATTTTTTTTTCCCATGCACATGTTTGCAAAGCAATGCATTTGGACATGAAAATGCCGAAATTGGGAAAACATGATAGTTTTAACAAATTATGCGCATATCGGTGGAGTCAATCTGCAATCATCTGGATCTTGAAATAGCAACGCCGCATTGAATCACATAACAATGAAACCAAGTTTCAAATGTTTTGCAACATGGTTTCATGCGATTAAAAACCTTGAATACATTGTCCACATGTTCAAACCATCTCCAATGCTAACATGTTTTAGTGTAAGTTGCCAAACGGACGCAAACATGCAAATACTCATAAATAAAAAATCCTACAATTTTGAAGCAAACCTAGGTTTATTTGCAACGCCATTTTGGATCATTATTGCGGTAAAATGATTTGCATTTGGAAACTGCAATGTCAACCCTGCATCCGATTTGTCAAGATTCACATTTGTTTTGTATGGCAATCAAAACTGAAATTTCACCACGGCAAAAATGCAATGATGTTGATTTCATTGGAACGAAATGTGTTCAATCTACGCATATTTTTTCACGCGTGTTCAATGCACGTCAAATGACATCCACCATGTATGTAAATAAGAATTTGAAATCCACCATGAAACCATGAGTTTTGGATGAATTCACATATGGTTGCGGGGGTGCGATGACGGAAACGATTGGTTTTTACGCGCAGTTGTTCACAATTGGTGATTGAATTTCCGAACTTTGGTAGTGGGCAGTTTTGAGTTAAGGCCCGCGCATGTGCGCGTTATTCACATGCATTGACAAAACCGTACCACAGAATTCACAACAAAGATTCAACTTTGAGACTGAATCACAACAACTTTAGTTGGGGACAGGCCTGTCAATGGTGTTGGTGGTTTTGTGGTTGAGAAACACACTTTGACACAAAAACATGTGATTCCCACCACCCCCAACCTGTAGGTTGAACCGAAACAACCTCCTAGAAAACAACAAACTAAAAATGATGCGGCCACACATGCACCTTCATTATTGTTTGACACATCGTTGGAATTTGACCGCACTACGTTCATCAAGCACTGCGCTGACAATGAATTGAAATAGCTGAAAATCACCAGCCTAATACAGCTCTGCAATCCAAAACATCATGAACACATAATGTGCCCGGAAGGTCCCTTGTTTTGGTTTCCGTACGCGCACCAAACGTTTGGAATTTTAAAGATTTGCATGCAAGTTGGTATCTTACAAAACCCTTGCGCAGCTACCAATTCATGGACAGAAAACACATCATGTTTGGCAAACAAAGTTTGCACATCACATTTCCTCATTTGGCACCGATGATTGGTTGCCAAAAATGGAGGTCAAGTCCATTTTTTCCCCACCATTGGTTTTCATCACGCTGAAGATGAAACCATTCAGTACGCTCCAAAACAGTTTCTAGGTCCCAGATCGCCAATAGGTACTTGTTTTTGCTAACGCCTCTGTTAGCGACCCCATAGTAATATCTTCAAAGTCTGCTGCTCCACCAGGTCAGATTCTGTGACGGCAAGCTTTCGTTCCACAACTGTTGGTTGCATTTTAGCTGGGCATGGTGGCATGTTTCCTTCGTCAGTGTTTCTTTGTTTTTGCTTCTACCCACATCAGTTGATACGGGTTGGGTGGGGTGGGGCATGTTGACGTTGGTTTGAAGTTGCATCGGATGTGCACGCTACGGTGGACATAGGGTTGGTGCCAAGTCTTGGCGGTCAGAGTGCGGAAAATTTCGCCTGCCATTTTGCAACGTGGTGCATGTGAAGATGCAGGTCAGTAAGATGGTCAAAGTGAAAGGCAAACGAAAGCTCACTGGAACACAATTGCTCGATCAGGTGTGGCGCCATCTGAAAAAGCATGTGCCCAAAGAGTTGAGCACTCATGAAGGATTGGGCACAAGAGATGCTGCACGGCTTGAGCAGTATGTGCGATCCTTTCAGTTTCGCTGGAATCAGAAAATGAATCTGGCAGATGCATTGGCCAAAAGAGTTGCAAAGCATCGAGGATAAGTGTCCGAAAACATGACTCCGCAGAAAAAAGAGAGGCGTGGATCGCCATTACACTGCAAATTGAACATGATGCACATGCCCCTATGCAAAAGATGGTACAAAATGCATGTGTGCAAATTTCCAATATCAAAGAAAACATACAAAACGGGGGACATTGGAGACAAGCATGTATGAATGTGGTGATGAAAGGCCCAGGGTCGCTATCAGCGGCGATACCTTGTTTTTTCACAAGAAACAACATTATGTCTAGTGACCAGGACCTCATACCAGGGCCTCTAAGAATATTTCACAAAACTGTCAAAAAACAACCTTCTGGAGGAACGGGGTAAATCTTCATACAAAAACCGCCCAAGAGCGCCCCAAAGAGTTTTCGCGAACTTTTCTCCAACCGAAAGCGCCTCAGAATTCATCCTGATGTACACTACTCGATTTGTGCTGTGACATGTGCGCAACTACGTGACTGGCATACCTATGCACACAACTGCAAATGCGGAAATGTGTTTCACCCTGCCTTGATGTTAAAAATTTCTAAACATCCCTATGGCACATGTTCCGCAGGTCAAGTCCACGACCTTTGTGTCTCCTTTCTTGGAACCACTTCAAAGTGAAAACAAGTCTGGAAAGCGGCGCTGAAGCCGCTCGATGGACCTGATCTCCATCAGAGTGACTTTCTTCTGTGGTGCCACGCCTCGCTTAGAATTCCATGGGTCCCTCAGCAGCTTCATCCTCTGGGGGACGGTCACCTGTGGGTCCATAGAGCATCAAAGTCCAGAACTCTGGGTCCGATGCTTCTGGCATTCCACAAATCAGCGTAGCGCCGACCTCTCTGAGAGTTTGCCTCGGCTGGCATGCTTTCATCTGATTCTTCCTCTGCTGGCATCTTGTCTCTCATCGCTTCGGCCAGCAGTCGCAGAAGTGGACCAATCACCTCGTGCTGGTCATATTCCAGGAGTCCCATGAAGTGGTTGAATGCCCCACAAACGCTGCACTGTTGTTGCTCCACAATGCAACTGGGCAAACGCAGCAACTTCGCGCATGTACAAAAGGAACTGGTGACCTTCAGTGATCCTCAGGTCTGACAACTGTGCAGAAATCAATGAAGCTTCCAACACTGCATCAAAACCCTCAATCTCTGCCCCAACTTCTCACAAGACATCCAAACAAGAGATGTCGGTCAGACTTCTTCACAGAATACTTCAAACAGGTTTCTCTGTACTGCAAGGCTTCTGGTCGACTCAAAAGACTAAATTCCCTGCGCGGCAATCTCAAAAGCTCAAAACCATTTGCTTCCTGAATGCCATAAAAAGCAATCTGAGACTTCACCACATTGTCTACCCTGAGTATCCAGAAAAAACTCTGCTGGAGCAAGTGGAACAAACGACGGCTTCGAACAGCTTAATCTGGATTCAAAATCACAAGTGGGTGTGGGTATGTGAGATTCAAGGCCTCTTTGAGTTCACCTGCATAGCTTTCGTGGACAAAACACAGCCACGATGCAAACTTCTCCAGCCATCCTTTTGAAACCAGCTAGCTCTCGGGCTCTGTTGTTCCAAGACTTCCAGTCAGGCAGTGGTGCTGCTGGAATCTACTTCGCGTCCATTGTCAACTTTTCAAACAGCGCCTTCAAAATGAAATTCAATTGCGGGGAACGTTTTTGGGGCGCTGCGCGCCTTGCTTCTCGTAGCTTCCATTGCCTGTCTGACAGAAGCTGGCTGCAACTTTTTGCAAGGAAATCGCCAGGGCCGATGGATCCCATGGACCTCGACCATGTCGGCGAAAACGGTTATGCGTTCGACAAAGATATCATGTTTCCTCCGTCATTCAATCCCTTGAAGCTAAGCCAGCTATGGAATGCGGCTCATGCTGAGCACAGAAACAAAATCATTCACCAATAGCTCAATAGCAAAAAACATGCCCTGGCACTAGTTGCACCAACCGGCACCAACTCCTCGGCACACTGCGTGATTCACCACTAATTAAAATCAAATTTCTTGCGCGTAATACAACACCTGCTTCATAAGATTCTTACAAAGCTGCATTCCAAGCCCCTGGCAAACTTAACTTCCGCATCAACCCTCCAAACACTCATTGCTTCGGAAGTAAACTGTCCCATCGAATCCAACATTGAAAGACATGACAAAATAAAACCCATCTAGTTAGTTACACCATGATGGAACGTTCCAAGGGACCTAAAAGAAGAGCGCCTTTCCAACCCCAAAATAAGGGTCGCAAATCAAGCAGCCGAAGCCGCAAGGTGAGAGCAAGCAACCAAATTAACGAAGCCAGCCAAACCAAACCAAATTAAAGAAAAGCAGACCAAACAGGGCAAAACCAAGAGCAAGCAAGGCAATCAATCACCAAGAATGAAAGCAATGAAGCAAGCAGAAAGCATAACTTGAAAATTGCCCTTCAATGAAAACTCTGGAGCGTCGAAACTGGTTCGAACATATCATGAAACATCACTCTGCCTCATGGAAAGGCGGATCGCACGTTATGCTGCACGGCACAGGGCTTTTGTGACAATCGTACGTCCTTTCTCAATGCTCGTTCGAGATGGTGGCAAAAAAAGGAAAGATTCTTTGTGATTGGTCGACATTTACATTTACATGTTATATGATGCACGTACATCAAACTAGCGAAGCCCCAAAATATTTTATTGCACACGTGCAAATGCGCGCGTTTCAAACATTGCCAGCATAACTGAAAACAACGCATGGATTGACGTCTTAGAATCACATAGCAGCACGCCAGTTAACCATTCGCAACACAGCAGGAAAGCACGTTACCATCCAAAATGCGCCACAACGCCAGCCCACTTTGCGCCCAAACGTCAGACTGCGCGTCCCACCCCATGTCTTTACATTAGTATTCCCGCAGGTATATTGTAGTGTTCAAGCTTTCAACCTGTAGGCTCCTCCTCCCATCGTTCG